AATCATAATATATATATATATATATATATATATATATTAATCTTAATCTTAATCTTAATAATATTAATTCAGGATAGTCTCTAATCTTTTTTTTTTTTTTTGCCTAATTTCAAACAAAATTTTTAAATAAAATAATATACCAAATTACTTATTTCATATATTTATAGATTAGGCTATTATTAAGATTAAGATTAATACACACATACATATATATAGGAGGGTTATAATAACACCGATATAACTTTTACTAAGTATTATACTACTTAATAATTTTATATTAAATGTGAATTTTGTAAATTCAACCGTTAGATTGAAAGTTTTTTACTCTTAGATCATATATATAAAAATTTATATTAATCTAAGATGAGTTGATACTTCATTCTTATAAAAAATAATTGACGTAATATATACATTTCAAAATATACTAAATTACGAACACTTTGATTAACTTTAAGTTGTTTAATTTTAACAAAATTTGATATAAACATATAAAGTGATATGAACTTTCAATCTAATGGTATTGGATTTACAAAATTCACATTTAATATAAAGTTATTGAGCGGTGTAATATATAGTAAAAGTTACACCGGTGTTATTATAACCTACTCATATATATATGAGGAATGATTCACTTACTTTAAGAGTATGTCTATGTAGAGTTATTCCACCAATAACTCATGTTTTATATTAAATTTTAACGATCCAATCATTAAATTAAAAGTTCTTAATGAATAGATCAAGTCTATATTTTAAGAAATAAAAAACTATTTGATACTTTATTTCATTCATTCAAATCAATATATACAATGTGATGGAATTCTTAAGTGAATCAATGGACTAATTCACTCTTCTTGAACTCCAAAGTCCACATGTCACCTTGAGGTTCTTCCAAGATCAAAATCGCCACAAGATTGAAGAAAATATGATAAGAGGCATGCACAAATCTTCGCTAAGAAAGTAAGAATAAAAGCCAAAACATACAAGGAAGGTTTCCTTGTTGAAGGTGCTTAAGGAGGATAGTTTCCTCAAGCTCCCTTGGCTCTGGATTTGAGAGAATTTATGAAAATGAAACTCAAATATAATCCAAAGTGAGAGGTTTACACGCATAGGAGTCTTATATAGAGTTAGGAAACATCTAGGAGAAGCTAGGTTAACCTAGGGTTTAAGTTAAACCATGGTATGGTTTACTTAACTCTAGCACCAAATTTGAATTCAAAAATTCAAATTTGGTCTGAAACGTTGCTCCCCCATGTGCCTGCATGTGCTCTTGCATCTTAGACATGTGATGGTTGCATTTATATGTTATTTAAGAAGCATTTGGAGTTGCATTTGATGCATGCCATGTGCACCACCCTTGGCCGTTCACATGGTGCATCAAATGCACTCTAAATGATTTTGAATCACATTTAAATTTAATACCACATTCTAGCTAGGCTCCATCCTATCGAACGTCCCAAGTACACGACCCAAATAAACTCTACACTACTTGGCCAAAATACAAGGCCCAAAAGAATTACAAGCCTTAGTAGGCCTTAAATGCTACACTACATGGGCTTTAGGTAATAGCCCAGCTCAAGAGAAGCTTGGGCCTGCTATCCTCAGCATTGACCCAATCCTCATACATCCTCCTAGCCATGACCCTAGTGGTGAGTCCCTTGGCTATGCCTATGCCATCACATTTGGGTTAAAAAGTGCACATTTTGGGCTATAGTATAGACTCAAAAATAATATAAAAATGTTAATAAATGAACGGGTTATGTGGGTTAAAAGATGAACCTTATATTCTATGTGAAAAATGTAACATGTGTACGTTGTGAGCTTTTCGAGTAGACTTAAATTAAATAATTAGTCTTCATAATCTTCATAAAAGTTGTAGCCCTAGATGTTAGCTTTCAAATGTCATTGGAATCAATTAAAAAGGAGGTTTTATAAATCAAGTTATGATTTAATTAGTGAGCAAAGGTCAAGCTATTAGGTTTATCTTTCTAATAAAATTAAGATCATCTTGATATCATATATATAGCTCTAGATAGGACGTTTGGATCATAAGATGTCTTAGAAGATTCAGTTGTGGAAATGTAGTTTATAACGAGGATGATGAATAGCTTTACCCTTTAAGTGTTTGATCTTATGAATGGTTTGTGGTACTTATATCAATGTTTATGAAGGATGAATTATGGTATTGTCGGAACTCGAAGAATTCTGATCTTACCCACAAATGGTTTGAACCTTTATTTTGAAAATCTCATCGGTTAGGAAATGCTCGGAAATCAGACTAATCCCTAATCAATGGTTTTTGAAAAGGTTCAAAGGGGTCGTCATCGATATTTTACTCAAAGCATCTATAAAAGAAAAGATTTCAAAATTACAATAAAGGCCTTTATAGCCAGCATTGGGTTCGAGAGTCGGTTACATATAGGGAAGGTATTAAACACCCTACAACGCCCTAAATTAATACCCTATAATGATATTATCATAATAATAAATAATAATTTAAATATCTTATCCCCTTTTATTATTTAATACTATTTACATGATGAAAAATACCATTATCTACATGATTATTTATTTATTGCATATAAGAATTATAAATAAAATAATAAAGAAATAAATAAAATAATAAATAAAACAATAAATTAAATACTAATAAACAAAATAATAAATATCAAAAGAACCTAAAGAAGCAAGCCCTTCGCTCTATAAAATGTCTCACTATCACAAGAATCTAAAGAAGCCAAAAGGTGGTTGATGTCTGTGCAAAACATGCCTTATTAATGCCTAAGTCTGCATTTTTTTTTACGATTAAGGCCTCTGTCTTGATGAGCTCGTAATTTGCCCCAAGTTTTTCTTAGAACGTCTTTTATGCATTTTTGTTCTAATTGGCTTTTGCAAACAATGTAGACTATACTCCAAAAAGGCTTGTCTTAACAGATATTGACACGAGGGCCCTACCAGAGTATCTTTTAAAATCAATTTGCCCCAAGTTTTTCTTAGAACGTCTTTTATGCATTTTTGTTCTAATTGGCTTTTGCAAACAATGTAGACTATACTCCAAAAAGGCTTGTCTTAACAGATATTGACACGAGGGCCCTACCAGAGTATCTTTTAAAATCAATTTTGGGCCTCTCTTTAGAGTGTAGATACTGTCTATCTGATGCATTACATATTTTAAGACATTCACCTTTCTTAATTGTCTATGCATGTTGTTACCTAATCCTTCCATAATCTAAGAAGAATAAAATGCATGGTGATTAATGGGCTAACCTAAAAATTGCATACCATGGTGTTTATTTCCCTAAATCTTATCATGTTTTCTTCATCTAAAAGGGAAATGATGCATTATAAAGGTAGGAAATTTTCTTTTATTCATGTTTTTTTAAAGCAAGAAACTACTTATATATGATGTTGATGGAATGATGACCTACGAATATACAAAAAGGTATTAATTTCCTTAATGCTAGGCCCTAATAAACTGCTATTTGTTTAAATTTCAATTCACTCCTATAGAAAACAAACAATACAAACAAATGCACAAACATATGCTCAAACAACATACACTCATGAACAATCACGTTCAAATCCATGGGTTGAGGTCCCTACAGAAAGGTGTGTGGTATAAGGTGGTTCTAACTATTCTCATCGGTTTCAAAGACCCCCAAGGTGCTCCCATTATAGGGACCTAGTATCTCTGTTGCTGTCAACTAGCAAACGTCGGTGGTCTGTCCAAAGTATTGAGTTATAATCGGTTATCACCTTGAGCATGATTTCTGACAACGACCTATGGGCAGCTAAGACCCTTTCTACGGCCGATTGTACATCAACCACTCCCTATGGTTATATTTTTCTTGCCTCCAGGTATAGAAGGAACTATTGTGTGTTGTGTATATATAGTTTATTTCAAACAAGTGAGGGAATTTAAACAAACATATAGTTATTAAAGCCACACTAAAAAAACAAATATTTATAAACAATGAAAATGGAAAAAAATTTAATTATCTTTTATTGCACTAAATTTATCACTAAATGGGTCTAATCCTCTTTTAACTTCTCCAACGGAGTCGCCATCTATCGGAACTCAAAAATTTCTGATCTTTCCGACAGATGGTTTAGACTTCTAATTTGAAAATCTCACCAGCTTTACAATGCCTGAAAACTGGACTAATCCTTCACTAATGATTTTTGAAAATGTTTGAAGGAGTCGCCACCAATATTTTACTTAAAATATTGGAAAAAGAAAAGGGTTTCAAAAAAATCAATTATGGCCTTCATAGCCAAAATCGGGTTTGGGGTCGATTACGTGTGGGGAAAATATTAAGCACCCCACAATGCCTTGACTCGGTACCTTATGATGAATTTAGCATAATAACGAAATAGTTAAATCTTTACCCTTTTATTTTTTTAAGCATACCATAATTTACATTAAATTAATCTACAGGACGAACACTTATTATGTACATGATTATCAGTTCACTACATGGGAATAGGGTTGTAAATAAAGCAAGTAAAAGGAAAAGGGAGGAAGAGAGAAAATTAAAACCTCCAAAACAAGCTTTTTATAGAAGGATCTTCACAAATGCGTACAAGGGCACGTTTTTGGCGGTCTTTCACTCTACAAAGCCTCACTATCACTCAAAAATTCACAAAGAGAGGAGAAAGTCCAATAAGATAGGTGTATGAAAGAGTGAGCCCTGGGCACACTTATATAGGCGCTCAAGGAAGGAGAACGGTCATTCTCAACACTGGAACAACTGTTCCACGCCTCAAAAAAGCACATAAAATCCCTAGTTGGAACAACCATTCCAAAACTAGGGTTTAGTTCAAATTTTTAGTTAAGAGCGACCGTTCCGCACCCCAGATTAGAGTTTCTCGTGAAATGTTGTCTTCTAGGCCTCTCGAGCTTCATCTTGGTTCATTTATGTGCCTTACTAGGCACTCAAGGGCTACTCTTCTCGTTCTAGAGGTCTTTCGGTCTTAGTAAGGATGGCCATGATAAAATCTAGTGTCTACAATCCTCAAGCTCAAGTACTCCATCAAACTTGAAATTTTTTTTATCATGAATGGACCTGGCCATTTGGATTTGGGTTTACTAGGGAAAATTCTCAACCTATTAAGTAAGAAAATTAATTGGCCAAGCCTAAGCTCCCATTTGAGGGTCTTCCCATCATGATATTTTCTCTTTTTCCTAACTAATTTTGGCACAAGTTTATTGGCAAGGTTGGAACTCCAAGAGTTCTTAGGCTTTTTTAAAGGACTTGCAATGTGAATCTTATAAAGTGTGTCTATTTTGAGGCATTTTTCTTTTTTATATGAACTTGATTGTTGCTTATCCTCAAAAACACCGAAGGTCACTTCATCTTGTGCCCTCACTTTCAGTTTGCCCCTATCCACATCTATGACTACCTTGGCTATTTTCATGAATGGTCTTCCTAAGGTCAAAGGAATTTCCATGTCTTTGTTAAGTCAGACGAAGAAATTCTCAACAAGGTTTTGAACATGAAAAATATAATACATATTGTTATTTCTAACATGTATGTTAATGTTTCATATAAATATAAAAACAGGCAAAACTGAAAAAGTGAAGTACGTGTTATTACACATACTATGGTCAAACCAAACGAAGCTTGATCGAGCTGTACAAAGTATCAGACGAAAGGCCAAAACAAATATCAAACAAGGCTAAATCAAGAACAAGACAAAATGTATTCCAAAATGTATTCACCAATCTCACCCTTATATTCTCCTAAGATCATCTATATATGATTTTTATAATAAAATTTTATTGAGTTCATTAAGGTCATTCCAGATAAATTCCTTACATTTAGAAATTCTAAGGAGTCTAACTCAATAAATGATTCATCTATTTATCAAATTAGAAATCTTACATTAAGTTTAAGAACTTGTTCAACTAATAACTCCAAATTTATTCCTAGTCTTTAAAGTTGTTAGATGATTTGATTCAAAACCAGATTTAGAAAATATTTTTCAACCAAAAGACCAAATCAAAGATAAAAAATGATTGATAAAATCACTTTAGTATTAAGAATAGAATCAAGATCACTAACACTAAATAATAGATAATCATATATATAAATCAAAAGGAGTACATGAGAGTTTGATGGATTGCTCAACCCCAACAAAAAGAAAAGTTAGCCACTCATGGTGATGAAAACTAATCCAAAATACATGGAGAATGTGTAGAAGAGAGAAAGAAAGATCCTAAAACCCCGTTCCCAGCTTACTCTTGGACTCATTGCTTGCTCCCTATTTTTTGCACAAGTGTCCATGGTTCCCCCTATTTTTCTCCTCCCAAACCTTTATATATGTGTAGAAAAATAAAATTGAATATGGAGGAGAAAGAGTAAATCGTTCAGCCCTTTCCAAACGATTGAGCGATTTGGAGAATTCTTCATGCTGAAGCAACTTCAATGGTTGAGCCCTTTTGAATCCGCTGAGCCCTTTTTGGATTCAATCTGCTCAACCCCTTAAAAATGGTTAAGCGCTTTAACTTTTGCTTTAAATCTTGCTTTCTGCCTTTGAAGGGCTTAACTTTTGGCTCAGTCCTTTCAAAAGGGATTAGCCCTTTTCCAAACACCTGACTAAATTAGAGTTTTTTTGAGACTTTGGATCTTCATTGAATCCTACAAGATATAAAACAAGAGTTTAAGTAAAATTCCATTAACTTTTCCTAAACTAACTAGTTTACACAACTCTTTTGAATTTTGTAATAGGTTAGGGGTAAAACATAAATTTCATTCAAAACTAGTTAGATAATTGTCAAAAAAGTTAAGTCATTTAAGTAAAATTGACACTTATCAAGTGGCGACAATGGAGGTGGTGGCGATAACAATGATGGCAACAGTGGTGGTGGAAGCAACAACAATAATGGAGGTGGTGATGTAACAGTAGTGCAATAGAGGTGGTAGTGACGATAACAATTCCAATAGCAAAGATGAGGACAATAATAACAGAGAGAACTACTATCACAATAGTACGTAAATAAGTAATAATTTCTTTTAGTCTAAATCATATTTTCATATTAACAAGTGTTCTAACTTGAGTCGACCCCTATAGATATACACTATATATACTAATATATAAAAGGAATACCCTTTTTAGTAGTTACATTGATCTCCATATTTGATAAACCATTATATTCTTTTATTATTAATTTTTTTTTATAAAAAAATCATTTTTTTTATCAAACCCAAGACCCTCAAGTTCAAACTTTTATTATTTAATGTCAATTTTTATTTTTTTAATTGAGACACAAAATATCTAGAATTACTAGTAGATACTAGTGAAATTAAAATATTTCGTGTCTCTATATTTATTTAAAAATTATTAATATTTTATTAAATCAATTAGTATTGTACTTAGTCTTAAATTTTAAAATCATAAATTCGAATCTTAAGATTAATTAATTTTTAATATTATTTTTTATTATTTAAGAATTTAAAGATAAAATAATTTAAAAATTGTATGTGTGATTTTATAAATTGAGTCAAGTCATATTTTTCTCACTTAACCCATGATCCACCGTGTGGCCACCAAACCCAAATATGCACTTCGCTTCTGGTCCCCACAACGATTCTCCTCTCAAAACGTCTCAGCCTCGCGCGCCAACAAAATCCCAAATTCTTCAACGCGAACCCTAATTCACTCGTCCCACTCCGATTCTCAATCCCGTTTCTGATTCATTCATTCTCTTTTCCTCAATCTCTTCGTTCGCGTCACATACCACGGTAAGCATGCTATTCCAATTCTCTTTGGCTTGGTTTTCGTTTCCACCTTTTTTCATGAATTGATTTGCCTTTGAGTTGGTGCAGAGACAGAGGTGTTTGTATGTCCTTTCTTCTAGTTTCATTTGATGACTAGTTATAATTTGTATTTTTCATTCATGTGGATTCACTGTTCCACACCTGCATATTTCCTGATTTTTGATGAAAAATTTGAACAGTGCGCATGGATAAATGAACTGGGCTGATTCTGTGAGTTGTATTTTTTTCTTTATGATATGTTAGATGTTTGATGAAAATGCCGAAACTATAGATTACTAGTGTGCTAAGCCAATGAATGAAACGAGTATGTGATATGGTTTGTATGTGTGTAGTTGATTTGAGGGGGTCGGGGGAGTTGGAGGGAGGCTTCTCAGTGAAAAAAATTGATCTTAGCAAGCCTTTTTCTTAAAATACTTAATCATCGGTATCAATGCAATGATTTAACTGTACTTTTCTCGGTTATGTACTTTTAACAGAATTACGCTTGTGTCTTGTTGTGAGTTTGAATTTTGTGGGGTTGAACTGTTGAAATGATTTATTGTGATGTTCTTTGTGCATGATGCAGTTCTAGATATTTGCTGCTGAAGCTTTTATTCGATGGCAAAGGACAAACCTGTTTCTGTCAAAGATGCTGTTTTCAAATTGCAAATGTCACTCCTTGAAGGCATAAAAAATGAAGACCATCTGTTTGCAGCTGGATCTTTGATGTCAAGGAGTGACTATGAAGACATTGTAACTGAACGATCCATCACAAATGTGTGTGGTTATCCACTCTGCTGCAATGCTTTGCCTTCTGAACGCCCACGGAAGGGCAGATACCGGATTTCGCTGAAGGAGCACAAGGTCTATGACCTAGAAGAGACATACATGTATTGTTCTTCCAGTTGTGTTGTTAAAAGCAAAGCTTTTGCTGGGAGCTTGAAAACTGAGAGATGCTTGGGTTTGGAACCAGAGAAACTAAACAATATTCTTAGCTTGTTTGGTAATTTGAATCTGGAACCAGTGAAAAATTCTGGAAAGAATGGAAATATAGGTTTTTCTGATTTGAAAATCCAGGAGAAAACAGAAACGAGCACTGGGGAGGTGTCTTTGGAGCAGTGGGTTGGACCTTCAAATGCAATTGAGGGTTATGTACCAAAACCAAGAGACCGAGATTCTAAGGGTTCACGGAAAAATATCAAAAAAGGTGAGGATTTTTTGGTGTTCTAAGTAATTGTTAGAAACTGTAGATAATCAGATAGCCTTATGCCATTTCTTGCTTAAGAATGTCCGGTTTCATGTTTAATACTTGGTCTATGGATGATCATGACGTGACTGTGAACTGTGAAGTTGAGGACTTAATTTCTGTGAAATTGAATAGTATAATTACTAATTCTTATCCTTCTGCACTTTCCAACAAAGTGAGTTTTGTTTGTGCATTACAGGGTCTAAAGCCAGTCGCATCAAGTCAAATAGTGACAAAAGTTTAATTAACACTGAGATGGACTTTGTGAGTACTATAATTATGCAAGATGAGTATAGTATTTCAAAAGTATCACCAGGTCAAACAGATGCAACTGTGCATCATCAAATTAAATCAACAGCTGCTGTTAAGCAGCCAGGAAAGTTTGGTGACCCTAAAGTGTTCAGGAGAGATGATGATAGCATTGAAGATCTGTCCTCATCTTTTAACAGTGGTTTAAATTTAAGTGCCTCTGAAAAAGAGAATGAAGTAGCCAAATCATGTGAAGCAGTGGTCAAATCCTCTGCCAGTCCTGCTATTAAAATGAAAGATGTTCACTCTATCTCCATATCAGAAAGACAATGTGATGTAGAATGGAATGGTTCAAGGAAATTAGTACAACTCAAAGGGGAAACGAGTAGAGTAACTGCCAATGATGACGCTTCCACTTCTAATTTAGATCCTGCTAATGTTGAAGAGAAATTCCAAGTAGAAAAAGCAAGTGGATCACGCAAGTCTAAACCCAAATCTTCTCTTAAATCTGCTGGTGAAAAGAAACTTAATCGCTCTGTTACTTGGGCAGACGAGAAAATCAACAGCACTGGAAGTAGAGATCTTTGTGAGGTTAAAGAATTTGGAGATATTAGAGAAAAATCTAACTCAGTAGGCAATGTAGATGTTGCTGATGATGAAGATATATTACGTCGTGCATCGGCAGAAGTTTGTGCAATTGCATTGAGCCAAGCATCAGAAGCAGTTGCTTCTGGAGACTCAGATGTCACTGATGCTGGTAACTACTGTTTCTTTTATGAGTGTTCTATTTAAATATCAATTGGTTTGTAAAAGTTTTTTTGTCTATCAATGAATCTTGTGCAGTTTCTGAAGCTGGAATCATTATATTGCCACATCCGCATGATGCCGTTGAGGAAAGTACTCTGGAGGATGCTGATATACTAGAAAATGATTCAGTTACTCTGAAATGGCCAAGAAAGCCTGGAATTTCTGATGTTGACTTCTTTGAATCTGAAGACTCATGGTTTGATGGTCCACCAGAGGGTTTCAGTTTGACTGTAAGTGTAGTGAAAATTTTAGAAACATTCAAGCTGTACTAGTTTTCTGTCATTGTATACTCTGACATACCTCATACTTTTTTTCTGTCTGTATAACTTTCTTTCAGTTGTCGCCTTTTGCAACTATGTGGAATGCCCTCTTTTCATGGATATCATCATCTTCTTTGGCATATATATATGGGAGGGGTGAAAGTTTTCATGAAGAATATCTATCAGTTAATGGGAGAGAATATCCTTGCAAAATTGTCTTGGAAGATGGTCGGTCATATGAAATAAAACAAACTTTAGCCAGTTGTCTTTCTCGAGCTTTACCTGCACTTGTTGCTGGACTCCGTCTGCCAATACCAATATCTACCTTGGAGCAAGGGATGGTAGGATTTTGAAGTTATCTGTTTTGTTCTATTTTATGCTGTAGTGTAGTTGTCTCAAATTAAGTCATTATGAATTTATTATACCCCCGAAGGCATAGCCTGGCTCATCACCATTCATTGGGACCTCTCTCATATGTTCATAAATTCCAGTCCCAAAAAAAAAAAAAACTAAGATGCCCAAAGTCACACACAATGTAAGAAATTAACAAAATCTGTTGTTAAAATGAAAATTTAAACAGTGGAATGTGGATAAGGGAAATTCATTCCATGTAAGTGTTCATGTTAATCTTTGTGCGAATTGGGATGGATCAATTGCTTGAAATAAGAGTCACATAGAAGTTAAATAATGAGCCTGAAGGGTAAATACTACATGTATCTGAAAATAAAAGAAATTGTTGCGTGGGAGGAGGGGGCTTAGCCCCCTTGGATTCGTTCCTGTCTACATAGTCCTTACCATTTATTCCTTAATCTGTATGTGGCTCAATTCAGTGAAAATCTGCATAATTTCAAGTTTCCAAGTTGCATTGGTCTAAGCACCCAAACAAATAGTGAGTGTTCATTAGTAGAAGCAAATACTAAAGTGATTTCTCCTAGTTTCATTGATTTAACATATGCAACACGTTAACTTCTTTAGATGGTGTCAAAAAAAAACTTCATTAGATTAGCAATTTTGAGTACTATGTTTTTTAAAATTATACCATATTGCCAGAGAAGATGGAGTTTAATTTTAAGTTTCAGTCTAGAAATTTGTGAAAGTAGTGAGTCTTGGCACAAGGGTTTCAAATGATGGAATCAGCCTCCTGCAAAGGCAAGGCTGGTGACTATAACTGCCAATATGTTGAAAAAATTTTGTTTTGTAAACACATTTGGCCCAACCTTTCCCTGTTCTCCTACACAGCTTTATAGCTTTTTGAAAGTTTAGAAATTTGTGAATTCATGGGTTAATTGATTAATTGCAGATAGGTTTAAGGTTTAATCCTCGTATCTTTATTGATAAGTCTTTAATATACCCAATTACTTGTTTGTGTGTGGATGAGTTATATGTTAGTTCTCATGAGTCATAACTTTCTCTTAGGGTTGCTTGCTGGAGACAATGTCATTTGTGGATGCAATTCCAGCTTTCAGAACAAAACAATGGCAAGTGGTTTCTCTCTTGTTCATTGATGCACTGTCCGTTTGTAGAATACCTGCTCTTATCTCATACATGACCGATAGGAGGGCTTTGTTTCACAAGGTAAGACCCTTTGTTTATATTGTACTGATTATTTTATATACATTTATATGGAAGGGGTCTGTTTTGCATTACATAATGATGCTGGATTGTATAGATGTCCAGGAAAAAAAGTCTTATCCTTTATTTTATGACTCGGATCATTTGCTAGTATTTTGTTTACTCTCCATCTGCATTTCCTTTATAATTATTGTGTTGTCTACTTCCCTGTTTATTTATTAAAATGGAAGCTTAACAATATAATTATATAAGGGCGAAGGAGTTTATTGTTAGCTGATGATCTCGGAGTCTTACTTAAGGGCTTAGTATCTTTTTGTTTGTTTCACATTTCCTATTCATGAAAAATATATATAAATCCTACACAGCTTAGCTACCATGGGCTTAATTTTGTTCTCCTACAGCTTAGACTCTTTTTAGCCTAATTTTATGATTCTATTGTTTAGTTCATCTAGTGCGGTTCTCCCACCATGGCTGTGGACTTAAAATTCTTGTTTGCCTTCAAAATGGCTATTCATCTTGTAATGCCATGCTAATTTTTAGTTTAAGTCAGGTAGACCACAAGTCCTGCACACACAGATTTCCATATGATGACATGGGGACACGAAACCCAAATAGGAAAATTTTCCTTTTAATTTGACTCCTTGCGTGTGTGTTGTAGTTGCAAAAATTCATGTGTAGCAGTTGGAATATGGAGGTTAATAATAATCTTATTTTGTTGTTTTATCTCCTATTTCATGTCAGATTTTGATGTTATCATTTTCACTCTATCTTTAAGTCTATTAACCATTCATTGTTCTGTTATTGATTTGGTAAAACAGGTTCTGAATGGTTCTCAAATAGGTATGGAAGAGTATGAGATTTTGAAGGAACTTGTAGTACCACTGGGCCGAGCTCCTCATATCTCTGCTCAAAGTGGGGCATGACAACAAATGGGCCAAATGTTGAACTTCATCAATGAAGAGTGCAATTTTCTTTTTTGTTTTGAAAAAAAAAATACCTTTCAAGCGATGAAGTGCTAGTTCATAAACATAAAAAAACATACAAAGACAATTATGCTAGGCTTCAAGCAACACAGGAACCAGATTTCTATATGATCTAATGCTACAGCTAGTGGGAGTGATGAGTAGAAAGTTGATATTCAATTGGACAATATTCTAACATGTAATTATATATTTTTAAAAAAAAATCTAAAATACTGTCTTGAGTTTAATGGAAGTCTTTATTTTTCACGCCATGCAATTTGTAGAAAATTCTGAAGATGTTTCTTGAATTTTCTTCTAAGGTGTACATATCAGAAGATGTTTCTTGAATTTTCTTCTAAGGTGTACATATCAGAAGATGTTTCTTGAATTTTCTTCTAAGGTGTACATATCAGAAGATGTTTCTTGAATTTTCTTCTAAGGTGTACATATCAGGGTGGGAATAGAGAACAAATATCTTCCACGACAACCATATGAAAAACTGACAAATTTCCAAACTTCATTAGCTGAAGGAATGTCTATTAATTTTTTCTACTCAAATAAAATGGCAAGCTTTTTGATATCAGTGACCATCTTTCTTTCGCTTTGCAAGGCATTAAAACTTGAGCAAATTGAGCACTGCTTTCATCGAACATTGCCTGCAAGATAGGAGTGTGTATAATCATTATTAATTTAATTTGGATTAAGGTTGATTTTGTTCGGTTTAAATTTAGAAATTAGACGTGTTATGTATTTTGAGAACGGATTATTTTTTGAATCATTCAAATCTAATTTGAATTTTTTATAAAGTATATATTTTTTTGAATAAATGTAATATATATATATATATATATATATATATATATATTTTTTTTTTCAAATGGATATTATTTTATTTTAGTGTACAAAAAGCATTTTGTACCTCTGAATTATTTTTTATAAAATAATAAATAATATAAACTATATAAGTGTCTGGTTACTAAAAATATTGATGTTTAAAAAAGAATAAAAAAATTATAATTTTTAAAGATAATTTATAAGGATAAAATTATCTAAAAATATGGTCAATTTTTTTTAATAGTATAGATGATATTATATTTTAACATTATTTATCTGGAAATATATTTCATAATATTATTTAAGTTTTATGTTTATTCATTTTATGATTTAGAATTAAGTTTAAATTTATTTTTAGTCCCTATAATTTTTGTGAATATGCAATTTTGTTCTCTTAATTTTTTTATTATAAATTTGATTTTCTTAATTTTTAAAATTAAGCAACATTGGTTCACTATTAACATGTTATCTAAAATTAAATAAAAAATATTAGTGTGTTGATGAGTGACACTAACTAATAGTTAGGGATAAAAAATGAATAGATTAAGTTAGACTTTAAATATATAAGGTGAATTTATTTTATAAAATTAAAGTTTAAGTTTAATTTATTATCTATTATTAACTTTTTTATAGGCTTGATCCAATCTTTTTAAAAGTCGTTTAACTTATTAATCTATTTAAAAATTTATTTTATTCAAATAAATCAATTAACTTAATTTTAAATTAGTGAAAAAATTTATGTTTTAAATATACGTGCAAGTCTTTTTCTAATTTGCATGATAAAATAATAATTTACATACACTCATGTGTAAGTGTGATGAAGAGAAGATAATCTTATTAAAAAAAAAAATTCTAAACATTTCTTCTATCTTATTTAGAATATTTTAAATAACCACTATCTATGAAGATGAAGAAAAAGATTTAGATTTTCTATTTTCTATATCTAGATTTCACATGAATAGGGAATGTAAAATGTTTGAATGTAATGGGAATGTCAGAAGTATTGATAATTTTATTAAAAAAATTTAAATATTTCTTTTATCCCATTTAGAATATTCTAAATATTCACCAATTATGAAAATGAAGAAAAAGAACAAGTAAAGATGTAGCTACTAGATTTTGTATTGATAATTTAATTTTTTATATTATGATTTTATTTATTTAATCATATTGTTAATAATATAATATGTATTATTTCTTTATTATCTTATTGATAAATAAGTTGGCATATTAGACTTAACATACTTTTATAAAGGTCTAAGTCCAACCTTTTAAATAAATAGACTTTTTAAAAGTTTAAATCTGACATTTTTATTAAATAAATCATGTCATATCATAAATTTTTATTTAAGATTTGACATTTTCATTCTTACCAACAATTACTTAACCACACTGACTTTTATATAAAAAATAATATTATTTTTTCCTATAAATATGTTATGTTTCTTTTTTATTCAATTAAGATTTATAATTTATCAAATTTTAATTTTAATTTTAATTTTAATTTTTAATTTTTAATATTACTATTTTCTTATGTGGCTATCAGACTACATGTAGTATCACTCTTGATCACTTGTCAGCATTTTCTATTTATTTTGAATGACATGTTAACATAGTAGATCAACATTACTTAAGTTTGAAAATTATAAATATCAAATTTGTAAAATAAAAATTTTGAAAGACTAAAAAATACATTCAAAAAAACTATTAGAACAAAAGGAGATTTCAGCTTAAAATTATATATAATATGAAGATTAATATATTACGTTAATAAATTGCATTAGCCTGGTTTTTTCTTTTATATTATCGCATCTTGATTGAGTATGATTTTCTATTATGTGATGTGGCTTATCAGTACAATTTACTTGGAAGAGAACAATCTTGTTTGTGTTTATTTAACAAGAAGGCTAAACAAATGGACAGTTTGCTAAATAATGAATTAAGAAAATATTCGTTACAAACGGCAAGAGTTCAATATAACAAGCAACCTATGTTTAAATGCAATACAAGATTATGATGAACATGAAGCAACCTCTATATTCACAACAATAATGAAATAACTGGTAACATGGAGTCCTATGTTTATATAAATACTCTCGGGCTATATATGAATTTACACTCCAACAGTAACCTCATATGATATGATCTCTGGTGTGGATGAATTCAAGACCAGTGCACCATTTTGAGCAAGATCATCTTTGGACTCTAACTTCATCTCATTTTGGTATTCAGAATTGTTAACCGGTGGATCATGGCACTCTTCATTGTTTCCTGTATCTGCTTTTGCATCTTGGCTGATTTTAGCAGTACTCACAGAATCCTTTTCAGTTTTTCTGATTGCAGTTTCCTGAGACTGCGGCTTGGGTTGAGTTTTTCTGATTGGTTTCTTTGAAATCACTTCTTTGTTTCCCTTTATCTTTGCCTTGATTGTATCATTCTGTTGTTGCTTTCCATGTGGGCTAGAACAAGATTTTTCTTCTGAGTTATTCACAGCAGATCCTTTGTGTCTTCCAAGCTTTGGAGATTTCGGGCGCGTTGTTGGTATCTAATGGGTAGATAAATTACATCACAAGAATGGATATAAAAAGAGCATGAGTCTGTTTGGATAAGTTTTTGCAGAAACACTTTTACAAAAGAGAAACAGGAAAGAAAATCAAAATAATCTCTTCATAAGCTAAAACTATCTTATGCATGAATTAAAAATAAGATTTGGAAGAAGCTATTAAGAGAGAGCTTCTACAAATTAGCTTATGCATAAGCTAATTTTAGTTGACACATAAATTTATTTCATTTTTCCTTCATACTTGTCTTTCTTAGAAGTGCTTCAGGAAGAATTTACCCAAATAGACCCACGTCCCATGAAACAAATACTGAAGAAGAGTAAAGAACACTTTCACAACATGAACTAACTTTTGAATTACCACGACAATGAGCTTATGTTTCCATAAAAAGTTTAGAAGGCATTAACAAATGTGAACATGTGATAGACAAGTTTACCTTTTTCAATTCAATTTTTGGAGGAGGTTCCTTATAGAAACTTGGCATTGGAGTGGCTTTGAATGTCATAGTCTTCCTCAATTGCTTGATTTCTGCCTCCTGGTTTTCCTGCCAGAAAATCAGGAGAAAAAATGTAGAAAAAAAATAAGGTGATAAACTGTCAATGAGAACTCAAACCACCTGGAATAAAATCTATTGAATTCATTTAGTTGTTTTGTTGGCTTTGATACCTTTGATTTCTCTTGCTGGTTAGTTTTCTCTGCTTCCTTTTCCTGAATTTTCTCTTCTAACTTTGAGAAGAACTGAGAGAATAGGAGAAAATAGGATTAATATGTGGCATATTCAATGTTAATATCAATAGGCTTCAAAGCTTCAACAACAACCTCCTTCCTCTTTTCTGCTCGTTCTTCCAATCTGAAGGAAAATCCAGAACCACTGCTCCTCCTACGAGGAGTATGACTTCTGATAGCACATAAACAAAAATTCATGAACATTTTAGTTAAAGCAAAAGAAGGATGACACTTTCATTGTGCAACATATTCAAATTTCGTGAACATTTTAGCTAAAGAAAAAGAAAGGATGGCATTTTTATTGTGAACATATTCAAATCCAAATGACATTGACAGATAAACAAGTATGACATAATAATTGGACAGTAATAGTGTATAAATCATACGAAGTTGTAGAAATAGCATCATCATCCTCTTTATTTGGCTTTTCAGATTTTGCTGGGGTGGAATTCTGATCTGCAGGTCTGCCACAAAAGAGTAAAAAACCGCATGGTGGTAATCAATTCAGCAAAAAGATATAGATTGTATTGTAAACTCCTAAATGTATATAGTTTTCATTGCAGTTGAGTTCATAGACTAAAACATATTAATAGAGAACATGAACATCATAACTTAGACATAACATAAAGAAGGATTTAGTAAATCTTGGCAGGTTTGGACTTACAAAGATGCCTCAGATGTAAGGCTCTTGGTAACCGCATTTGCCGGAGTAGACATTCCAGACTGGTAAACAGAATAGAAGTCATGACTCATGAACATGAATGACAAGAACAACATGGACAGACACAATAAAGATAAAGAATGAAGATACGATACAGAACAATACAATATCAGATTTCACAAAGAGAATATTCAGCCTTTTCAATTCTCAATAAAATTTGCTTTGCCCCCACTTCTTATTTTTTAATAACTACTGAATTGTGCAAATGCTGACCAATGAAGAGAATCTATCAAGCTACACAAAGAAAAGAACTGAGAAAAAAAAATAGTTTATGTACCTCAGAGCTTTTAAGGCTAGTCATGGATGTCAAAGAAGTCCTTTGGTTAGAATTTCCGGTGTTTGTTTTTGTCTCCTTTGAGTTAACTTCAGAGTTTGTCAGCCTGCTTGAACGACGAATCGAAGCCTCGGCTCTAGCCCCATTAACATTTTTAGTTTCTGTCTTCACAAGAGTGCCATTAATGCTTTTCTTCATGCCTTCTCCACCAGCTGATTTGGCAGGGAAAGAAAGGCTCTTGGAAAGGTTTGGCCTGTGTGTTTGAGATGATGTTGTGGACTTCAAATTGGGTTTCTCTTTGGTGGCAGATTTGTTGTTCTTTGAAGCAACACCACCTTTGCCACCAGGTTGCTAATCATGTTTATATGAATTAGGTTAGGTGGAAAATCATGCATTGTGTTCTAATTGTAAATGATCATCAATAGTTTAACTGAAGACACAATTCTGATATATATATATATATATGGTACCTTGGCAAGTTTTGAGTTTTTACTTGCTGCAGATTTAGGCCCTTCAACTTTTACAATAGGTTCAGATACTTCACTCTTGGTCTGAATTTCAGCATTGCAACCGTTTTCAGCTTCTTTGTTTATGTTCTCTTTAGTTGTTTCCCCAATGACATGTTTCTCATCCTCCATAACAACTCCATTATCAGATTCCATTGTGCTATAAATAGTCACAAAAAATAGAGTCAAGTTTAAATATGACCAGTAGTAAAATGTGGTTTCTAAAATCAAATAACTACAGACAACAAACATGAATAGAAAATCCAACACAAAATACAAGGCTTCAAGCCCAATACAGTTTTCCTGAATCATGCATGGTTTATGTGTTTTTATGTCAGATCAGACTCTTAACACCATTAAATTGCATGATGGGAATCATTGGACAGAAAAGGCATATGCTATTGGATAGTGAATGATGAGATTAATAAAGAACTTTCAAATCTCTTATCCTCTTTTATGTGACATACTCAACTAACTCAATAGTATGGTGCATATATAATATGTATATGCATTTCAATTCAATAAAACCTTACATTCAGATTATAGTTTTTACACAAAATTCCAGATCACCCCTATGCTGTAATTTTGATATTTCTTCTTAAGAAAGCCATCCTCTGAAATGAAAGTATCGTTAAGGACAAATGTAAAAAAGATCAAATAGGAAACAGTGTACTCCGATCCATCTTAATGTGCATTCTCTGCCAAAAAAAAAAAAAAAAATCCTTCCATACCCTTGAATTTTCAAGTTCTCAACTTGAACACAGATTCTATATTAACAGAAATTAGCACAGGACTGGAATTCTTTGAATGTTTGACACAAATCTAGACTCACATTTATCACCACCCCTTTCTTCAAAATGAATTTTCTTCTGAAACAAGATGAATAGTTAGAAAGAAAATGAACCTACACAGTAGCTTCAATTAACATCCAATTGTTATTCTCTCTCTACCTCCTGCACTCAAATCCTCATAATCCAATTGCCACAGTTTCTCAGTAAAAACAAAAACAACAAAGAATGACATTGGAATATTGGATCTTCATCCCCTGCATCATCCTCTTCACAAACTCAACACATACCCATATAAGATGAGCTTGATCCTTATTGAAAACACACACAATCCAATAAAAGAAGCTATGCAGAATCCAAATCAGAATAACTAAAATGCATCTTGAAAACAAACACAGATGTGGGAATTCAGAACTTGGAGATATCATTGATGAGACATAAAACACACACAATGGATATACAGTTGGGATTTTAAGTGTGGCCTTGAATCACAAAAAAGGACTCAACAAATTCAAAGACTGAATTACTCTGAAGATTGGTTGAGTAAGCAACAGAAGAGAGAGTTTCAATATGAGGGTGTATGGTGGTTTGGATTAGAAGAAGTGGATTTTTAAGTGTGTGTGAAAGATGAAACTGAAAGGTTGAGTTGGTGACACTCAGGTTTTCATTGAAGATATGCAAGAGAGATTTGTGGAAAGAAAGCTCAAGTGGGACTAGCTTTCAATGAAGTGGAACAGATAGGAACTGCCACAATGACTCTTCTACCACTCCCTCAACATGTAACTGTCACAGGAATCAATCTTATTATTTCATTCTTTTTTTTTTTTTTTTTCTTGTGGAAGAAATACCTATTGTTTTTATTTTGGTTTTTTGATAACCATGTTTTTTTTATACTATGAATCAATCAGTTTTATCCATAATTAATCTCTGTTGAAAAATTTTACTTTATCACTTTTAATAAGATCTCTCCTATAATTTTTTCATTCACAAGATTTGAAACAGTCAGATACTTGATTAAAAATATTAGTCCAATATCATTCAAACTAACTATTTATCAGTACAAATTATTAATTTTTTACAATAATTATTAAAATGATTTTATATGAGATTATTAATTAGTTGACTGTGTAAAATTAAAACAATTTTTTTATGTCTTATTGTGCTGTTACTTATTTTTATTTTTTTTTACTGTCTGACGATTGGCCAAGAATTTTGGGGCGAAACTACGTGCGTGGAATTGAAAGTTAAAAACAACGTACTTACGTTGTTTTTTGTTTTTTGGGTTGATGATGTGTTCCTGAGATGAATGATGATTTGGATTATTGTTACTAACAAAATATTATAATAATAATAATAATAATATTGTCTGTGTATTTAATGTTTTTAGTTAATTAGTCAAATGTTCATCCGAAAGATTAATTAATCAATCATTGCGTTCATGTATGATTATAAATTATTTGTATCTGTCTATGTAGCCCCAAAAAAGAAATGATTTGTATCAATGCTTGAAACTGACTCCGGGAAGAGGGTGTCACTGCCAGCAAAATTTGTTTAAGAAAATTAGGAAGAATAAAGAAAAAGAAAAGGAGGTTGCTAAAGTGTGTTTTTACATAATAGAAACTGAGAAAAGAGAATATCTCATTGATCTTTTTTATATTATATTTTGGAGATTTTGGTGATAGACAAAGATGATTTACTAAATAATTTATGGATTAATTAATTGAAGGATTTTGGCTTTTTCGGAGTGGTGGATCTCTCTCTCATTGTTTCTGTATATGTGAAGAGTTATTTTTGGCTAATTATAACATATTTAAATATAATATATGCTAAAAAGAGTTTTTAAATTGTTGTTACAAGAACATGGGATTGATTGAAGTGTTATTAGGATTGATTTTTATGATGTTAAAATAATGTTTGATTAATAAATATTATGTTATGTAAGAATAAATTAATCTTAATATTTGATTATTAGTTTTGATATATAATGTACATTATAAAAAAAAATGTTGTTGGAACTACGATCGTAATTTTGTCACAATTTTTTGATGCAGTGAAATTACATAAAAATATTCATAGTTTTGTCATGATCCTTTATTTTATGAGAAATTGTTAACTATAATTGCGTTTGTGATGCATTCATGAACTCTAAAACGTTATAATTGAGGCCTTTAAAGCCTTGATGACAACTCAATTGTAATTATTCACAACGAATGTGAACGGACTTCAAACGAGTTTTAATTTCAATGCAATTTAATATTAAAAATATAAACTAAAATCACATGTTTGGCGTGTGGTTCAGCGATAGGGGTTGATCCACGCTTAAGCAAGGTCAGGGGTTCGAATCCTGCCTTGTGTATGCAGCTGCGTTAAATCTTGGGGTCAGCTATCCCACCCTTTGAGGTGCCTCGCTCGAATGATTATTCAGAAACATGACTTTTTCAACTCGAACCATTTCTACCTCCTCATCCGAGTTTGTGATCAACCTAGTCAAGTAATCATCACATATATTTTAAATGAAAGGTAGTAACACTTTTCCATACGCAATTCCATTCAAGAAAAAGCAAGATACAACATTTTTCATATTAAATTTAAGGTCGATTTATAGACACATTTTGGTATTTATTGTGTGGAGGTTTAGTTTTGAGAGTGTCCAAAAGGTTAAGTGCACACAAACAATTAAAAAAAAAAAACATTGCTTATTTCAAAAGTAAAATGAACTTTTAAGTGTGTGGAACAAGTTGCACCGTTAATTTTAAAGAAAGACAAAAATTACAACCCAATAATTGAGAATTGGTTACAATTTTACAAATATATGTTACTATGCATTAGAAGGGCAAGAAAGTGAAATGTGGTGGGAAGAATGAAAGGAAACATAAGTGACTATTTGAGAACATGGAAATGCAAGGACAAAATGTTGGGGCCAGGTTGTGTGTCTATTCTCATAACTCATGTAATCCAATGGAGATAGGTGTGAGGATCACAGATGGATTCCTACCTAATGAATATTTGTAAAAAATGCATATCATAAGAAGGAAGTAAAAAAAAAACTATATTCAATGACCTAAGTATTTATATACAAAAAAAATTATAATGGGTATATGTATCTTACCATCCAACCTATACCATATTCACTATACAATAAACAATTATTTGTATTTTCTTAGTTAACTATGTTTATTTCTTTTATTATTGTCATTTGATGAATTTGTTCCTACTATTTTTTTTTTCACAAATTTGATTTTCATTATTTTAATTGTATATATCTATTTCTAATTTGAATATAAAATTATAATTGGAAGTATCACTTTATTCCTATAAGAAACATCTAATAAGAGAAAATTATATTTGCTTATTGAACTTATTATATATATAACAAAAATGGTAACATGATAGTGTAACAAAGTATTATGTGTGTTGAGGTAATAATGCAATAGACTTTTATGTTAGTATTTTTTAATTTTTTTCAAAAACTATTTTTCATTGTACGAATTATTTAAGTTTTTTGTTTTGTTTTGTTTTTTTTTTTTTGAAATTTCTCTATTTAACTTTTGAAAACAGCAACATAAGTTCTTAAAAGTTCATATTTATTATAAAAGTTACATACAGATATATTTTTAACTAAAAATATTTTCCTTTTTTACACCAATTTTTTTTTCTTAAAAATACAAAAACTGGATCTTTAGTAGAATTCGGTTCTTTGAATGAAATTATAAATGCGAACTTATTTACTTTAAAAAGTAATAGTGTTTCTAACATTAAAAAAAAAAAAAAAAAGAATAGACAGAATTAATTTGTGTTTATGAACCACAGAATAAAAATCATGAGATACAAACTACATTTATTTTTTAAAAAGTTAATTGCCAGCAAACAATCCCTGTGGTCTGAAGTCTCTGTCATCTTTATCATGTACATAAAAATAAAATAAAATGTCTACGTTTATCATTTTCTTATTTTTCTATATTTCTATATCTATACTAATATATATATAAAAAATAAAAAATAAAAAATAAAAAATAAAATCTCTCTATTTATAAAGTGCTATTTTTTTGCTGGAGTGACGTGGCACGACCATGTAACGTGATTGATCACACGTTAGGCGAAGCACCTGGCGCCAACCGTGTGTGAGCTGTCACTAAGTTTGTGATCGGACGGTTGCTGTGATCTGAAGCTAAAATCAGCGCCGTCCATATAAGTCCAAAATCCAAATCATTCTCCACGTTTTGGTGGGCCCACCTTATTTTCTTTGCAAGTAATATAAAACGCTTCTGATCCAATTTCGCAAGAGTGAAGGGTTGTTATACAGTGCTGTTTGCACCATTAGAGAGACTGCTCCACCCAATTTTTGTTTTTACATGATAAGTGTTTATTTATGAAGTTAATCATCCGTACATTGTCAGTGTAAAGTTTTTTTATACTGGTAATCAATCAAATCTTTTAAATTATTTTATTTTATTTTTATTTCATTAAATAAGTAATTGACATGACATTATTAAAAGATATGATTGATTGTCAGCGTAAAAAAAAATTTATATTAACAATGTATATATGATTAACTCTTATTTATTTATGTTAATTTATCGCGTTGTCCTTCGTCTTATATAAAAATTAACTAATTAGTTAATTCATCGTAATATAATTTTGAATTCGGTATCAGTTCATAAAGTAGAATTAAAAACACTTTAAATTGACTAAGTCTCTTGGCTAAGTAATTATAAGGCATGTTTATAGATACGAGATTAATCTTGTACTCGTAAGTCTGATACTCATTTATGTTAAAATAGTAGTGGAAGATATGTTTCATAAGTAGTTATTGATTATTAACTTTAGAATATTGTATGAATTATGTCCATAAACAAAAATAAGTAGAATACAAATATTTATATTTATTTAAAATTAAGTATGATACCTAATGCTCCATGTATACATGTATGATTTTATCTTTAGGTTTAGAAATAATATTACATGATATTAGGAGATATTCTTATTGATTAGACAAGATATTGTTCTCAATTATGTGATCCCGATCCTAGGAGATATGATGTGTAGAACATATTGTATATATGATATTTTCAAGATATATTATGGTGATTGTGTGAGGATGTCCATATCAAGATATATTGCTAACCGTTAGGAGTTAACTGTCTAGGATTTTACTTTATGATGATGAGTTAAAGGCCCGTGTAGACAAATAAGAGGAAGTCAGTTTGACTTGGTCAAGCTTAACCCGGTCAAGTTGGGCTACACATAAGCACCTCGAGCTTCAAGTTCTTTATTAGAATGAGAGAGTTATAAGTGAAGTTGTTTTGTTGGGCTTGACAGTTCATAATGATACATAATGTTCCGACCGTAAATTCACTGACATCGTTAGGGTTATCGTATTCGAAGTATCATCTATTTTTACACTCATTAAACTATCACAGTTTTGTCATTGAAAAAAATGCATTAGTAGATTAAGGAGAGAAGATGCTTATAAACTATAGTTAGCCTCAATTTTTAAGTGATAGAAAACTTTTAAACATACGAGAACATGTTTCCTAATAATTTAAGATGATTTTGATCGGGTTAAAATGAATCTAAACACATATTTAAGTTGATATCATTAAAAAAGATAAAATAACTCTAAAAAAAAGATAAAATAAAATAAAAGCATGACAAAAATAAAAATAGAAAATATAATTTAATTTAAATATTAATTATCATATCTTTTATTTAATGTTAAATCATAATTAATGTTACAATTTTAATAATCGAAAGATAAACATTTAAAAAAATATTAAAATTACAATAAATTTTATAAAATTAAAAAAATTAAAGATCATAATTATGAATTAAATATAATAAAAGACAAAATAAAATTTATTTCAAAACTAAAGTTTATTAAGCTATTATCTTATATACTCTTATTTTACTATCAAAGTTTTTCCTATTTTATCAAAGTTTGACTACCAAATAAATCAATCGAGTGTGGTGGTCATGAACTACGTTCTAAAAGCTTCTACACTTTCTCTTGAAGTTGTTGAAGCTTTATCTTCATTATTTTTGCTACTTATACATAATAATGGATGGATTTGAGTGCAAATTTCATAAAAAAAAAATATTATATAACTTTGCATCACATCCTTTCATTTGAATCCTATTATATCTAACGGCTATAATGTATGCACCACCAGTGGTCTATTTTCTGCTCGATCGTGCTGCCATATTATATACACAACCACAAGAAGAAAGTTAAAGGAAAAAGATAGGAAGGGGAGAAATGTGTTTTTCAATTTATTATTTATTTTTCGTCGAGTAGTGTGTGAATGATTGCTCTATGAATTATTGTTATTTTTGTTTTCATAATACAAAATTGAGAAATTGAAAATTATTAGATTTCAACATTGGCTTACATTAGAAATTTTGTTTAGTAGGTTTATATTTAAGAAAAATATCTTGAAGATATAACCTTCAAATTTTTATAATTTGAATAAAACATTAGGATATTGAATTTATATTATTTAATTTAAAAAATATTTTTTGAAAAAAATAAAATTAGCCTTCTTTTATCCAAAACCTCATTCCCGAACTTATCTCAAAATAAAACTCTTTTAATAATTTTTTTTTTTAATTTTAGAACCATAACGAGTGACACAAATTTGTTCTAATTTTATTTTTGGTCTTGACCTTATTCTAACTGAGCCGATAATTTTAAAATCGAATTCTAGATATGCACATATGAATAAGTGCTTTATTTAATTAGCATAATAATTTTATTTGATTAGAATAAGATTTTTTTTCCCATTAGATCATATACTAATTTCATATATGATATTATAATATTTTCACTGTATTGAAAGATTTTTACACGCAATGATAACTAAACATGAAATTCTCTTATAAATTAATCATTCCCACAACACATAACATAAACTGAGGATATCTAATCACTATATCAACTCATCTAATATTAATTGTCTCCTACAAGCATACTGATGATTTCATTAGAAACAATCGTTATGTTATGATCATTGCATATATATATATATATATTTTAATTTGTGGCGAAAGAATTATGATTATATATATTATGGTTGCTTTTTGTTTTGTTGTACGTTCCATGTATGTGTATATATATAAAAGTTGATGTGGATTTTGTGGATGATACGTTGCATTGAAAAGCAAGGCTGGCTTATATGTGTGGAAGTGAGAGCGTGGGCAAACATCCCTATACGGTTTGCATGCCTCAACAAACGTAGGTGGACCACACCATTGCTTCAATTCTTTGTACCATTGCAGCACCCACACATGCCATTGCCATTCCACACTCTTCATTCACAATGGAATTCGAATGTCACACAATTATTATTTCATGCATGTGCATCTAGCTAACCAAATTTTACGATTTGTATCATTCTTATTGTTGTCTTTAATTTGATTTTGCTAAGGATATGTGTTGTGTTGTGTTATTTTGCATGTTTTGAAATTAGATTTGGTCCTATATATGCTATAACTTTCACTTACATGTAAAAAATGTCTATAGAATTTAGTGGTTAAGTGTTGTTGTTAAAGGTAAATATAAAGGGTTTTAAAATATCATTTTTAAATATTTTTAAAACTTTTTCTCTTTTTTTATATGTAATTACATTATTGTGTTGAATCATTGACACATTAATATTTGTATTATTTGTCATTATCGTGTCATCTAACAATGTCATATTTTCTATCATAAGATCGATGACTAAAATCGCACATGTAAATTAAATTTTTGAAACCAAAATCACATAATAAAAATAAGTGTTTCTTGAGGCAAGCTTGATCCAAGAATCGTAAAGTCACTAAAACTTAAGTTTTAGGCCTAGTAGCAAAAGAATTATTTGCTATTAATTTTTATAAAGAAAAAGGATCTCAAATCTTGACAAAAAGAGTTTATATGTTGACAAATATACATACACAATGACAGATGCAAAAAATTTAGGTTGTGAAAGATATATATATATATATATATACTTTTAATTAATTTATTTTTATTTCCTTTTAATTTATTTAGTTATGTTTATTTCCATTTAATTTATTTAGTTATGTTTATTTCCTTTTAATTTATTTAGTTATGTTTATTTCCTTTTAATTTATTTAGTTATTTTTATTTCTTTTTAATTTATTTAGCTAACCACGCCTTTTGTTCACAACGTGGATTGCTTGCAGTATTAATTTTTGACATGCCTCTATAAATATTCTAAATTACTCTTACCTCCGATTAATGCTACTTACTATAATTAGTTTTATTATTTTTGTCTTATATTTTTAAATAAAAAGTATAGAATGTTTCTTTTCTACTAATTATTAAATAAATTTTATGTTTTATGAAAACAAAGTTTAAATTTAAAATATCATACTAGAATTTTTTCTATTACCTAAGGATTTTCCTAGGAATTTTTCATTAAAATTTGTAGGAAATAAGTTTTCTACGAATTTTTCTACAAATTTATTTTCGCAGCTAATACCTTCGTGGATAATTGTTTCTTGCCAATTTTAAAATTCGTAAAAAAAATTCTTATGATTTTTGCTATAAAAAAAACCTATAGAAAACTTTCTTGCAAAAAAAAATGGCAGCAAACTTTCTTGTGGAAAAAAAATTCTTAGAAAATTTGCAAAAATTATTCTACAAATTTTAAAATCCACAAAATTTTTGCAAGAAATTTTCCACGAAATATAAAATTTGCAAGTCAATTTCTTGCAAAATTAAAATTTCCCAAGTAAATTTTCTGCAAAATTAAAATTTTGTAGGTAAATTTTCTGCAAAATTTCAAATTCGCAAGTAAATTTCCTAAGAAAAATCGCAGGTAATTTTTTATAATTTTTTTTTTAATATTATGATGCCCTGCAAGTTCACAATTCTTATAACTTTCACGTATAACGCAAAGTTCATAGACGCTATCCATGTCAGTCAGGCATATTCAGAAGGGTATGAACCACAATTAACGAAGGCATAATTAGAGACCAAGAAATCCTCTTCACCTAGCGAAAAATATTATATAAAATGATTGTTGTATATATTATATAAAATACAATGATCTACTTGAATAAACTACACATCAAACGTAGTAACTTAGGAGACGCCATAGGGAAGAGAAAGCATAAAGATTAGCTACTTCAGTTAAAAATAAGAAAGCTTGCTACATAATCAATAAACATCAAATGCAAAATAAAAACTTCATAACGGTAATACACATGAAAGCCCCACTGAACTATTATACAAAGAATGAGGTACAAAAACATGTATGGTCAATAAAAGAAAAAGAAAAATACCCTGCTCGTACAATTTCTCCCTGGCAAGGGTTGCTTTACGCCCGTTACCTCAGTATTGTAGGAATCCAGTACTCTTTGCATACACGTAATAATACGTTTAATTACATAATGAGTGGAATTACACAATCAAACAAAGGAATAATACATACAAAGGCTACAGAAGAAGCAAAGGCCAAAGTTGTAGCACTAGCACCCAACCAATGATTCGATCGCATCAAATTATTCTACTCAGATGATGACCAGCTTGCTCTATTGCTTTCAACATAAAACAACTAGGCCAAAACACATCCAAATATAAAAACCACTCTAAATGATATGATGCAAGGAATCCCCCATGACTCACTCCAGAAAGTGCTTTTCCAGGCTAAGCCATACCTTATGTAGACAATTGGAACCTGTCACTAGGCTTTTTTCTTCTCCATCCCTGATATTTCCATATTATGAACATTTTAGCATCAGAAAGATATTAACATGTACGAAAAATAGGGGGCAAAAACTTTGCAGAGGTAAACTTACAAAGGCAGCGTAATACACAAAAGTCAATCCAGCCAAAACAACAAATGCAATTTTGGTCACAATTGCAGTTGCCATGGCTGCACCGCACTGTTATATTGCACTATTGATAATTGTGCTTGATGTATGGCCCGTTTTATACACTAGAGTCTGTTTAGTGTCTATGAATTATGTTAAAATTATTGGATGGATTTTAAGTTCACGCATGCCACAATTATAACAAACTAACCAGACTAAAATTTCGGTGCTATTGCTCTCTTAGGATAGAACAAAAAGGATTGCCAATTTAAACAATAATAAAATGGCATATTCCTCTCTCTCTCTCTCTCTCCCTCTCACACACACTCACAAAAACTCTCTCTTTCACAAACACAAAATAGATATCATACATTTCTTAAATGTTATGTCTCTATATCAGAAAGTGAGTTAAAAATGGTTAGATGAAACAAAAAATTAATCAGTACACAGAACAAGGAGCCACAGAATGTCTAAAAATTTTCCTAATTTTGATATACAACTAAAGATGAAGAAAAAATTGTCAAATTCTATATACCCAATAAATCTACAACCTTCATTAATTGAAACAAACCTGTCATAAAACATCACCACATATTCTAATAGATCATGTTAAACATTACACAAAGTAGTGAGTAATATGTATAGATCATATATATATGTGTTTCAATATTCTACAATCTCCAAATCCAACACCATAGGACTGATATTTTGTAATTTACCGAATACTGACCCAAGGAATGTGGTAGAATAAACTTCAACTATCAATCATCCAAAACAATGCAATTATGCAAGTGAAACACA